CCCTAAACTTAAACTCTAATAACACACCAAACACAACAACCTTCGCAACTCCTAAATCAGCTCCTAAAAAGAAAACAAAAACTGATGACAAAGAAATTGGTAAAATTAGTCTATGTGCCCATTCAAGTATCGAAAAATTAATTTGTGCGAATCCAGAAAAATTTTCGTTATCAGCATTACAAATAATTGCCTTCCTAGAAAATTCCTTTGGGAGTAGTGATCCCCTCAAAGAAGCTCATAATTTCACCACGAACATTCATTCTCTCCTCGAAGATCTTATACAAATATACCAAACTGTATCCGATAGATCACTTAAAAATCGCATTACAAGAATAACGAAAAAGCTAAATCGCACATTAAATTCTATAGACGCTGACGAACTTACCAGACTTACGTCCAATAATTCATGTGACTCTAACTGCAATGATATCGATCTTTTCTAAAATTACTTAATTAGTACAAGGTATATTCTTTTTACTAACCAAATGAGTTTTCAAATTCACTATTTTACAATGGAACTGCGACGAATACTATCCGCGCCTTGAACACATTCAATATCTTATAACAATTTACCATCCAGATTTTCTTTGTGTCCAAGAGACTAATTTTAATACAACTAATAATCTTCTCAACAATGCTACCACTGATAACGAATCTTGAGACAATTGCCATAACTACATATTGCCCTAATAAACTTACCATCTGCTCCATATATATTCCCTCAAACCATTCTCTAAAAGACGAAGAGCTCCTAGACCTTATATTTCAACTTCCACAGCCGTTTATTCTCACAGGGGACCTCAATGCACATAACAGTATGTGGGGCTCTCAATCAACATTTGGACGGGGAAAAGTAGTTGAAAATATTATTAACTGCACAAACTCATGTCTTCTTAACACAGGATCTAATACTCATTTTAATATTTCCTCTGGATCTTTCTCTGCTATAGATCTTAGTATTAGTAACCCTAAATCTGCACCTTTTTAACCTGGCAAACAGCTGACGATCTCTTTGATAGCAATCATTATCCTATAATAATTTCCAACAATTGTAATGAGACTGCCTCTGCCAAAAGCTATTGGCGCCTAAATCAAGCTAACTGACCAGAGTATTCAAAATCTGTTGACACTCTCTTGCTCGCTCATGATCAGCTAATAATCAATGATGTAGACTATTTGTTAACGTCAATAACAGACACTATTCTTTCAGCTGCTAAGACTCATATTGGCAAAACATCAATCTGTCCAAATCATAAAGCAGTTCCTTGGTGGAACTGTTCTTGTGAAAAGGCGACTCGTCTATCCAAAAAAGCTTTAAATAAGTACCCAAAAAACAGAAGCCTTGAAAATCTAATAAATTAAAAAAATTCAAAGCCAAGGCCAAACACGTAGTTAAAAAAAGTAAAAAATTATCCTGGCAAGATTACGTATCATCTATCAACAAAAACTCCAATCCTAGCCAAATTTGGAAAAAATACGACAAATTCAAGGTGACAAAACTAATAATAAAACTACTCGTTTAATTTCAAATGGTATAGAGATCACTTCACACGAACTTATTCCTAACGCATTTGCCAAACATTTCGAAGACAAGTTCAGGAATAAAACCAATAATATTACTTTGTCTCATCATGACTTATATTCACACAGAAATCATCTGATATCATCTGAACATAGTAGATCCCTTAATTCTCCTTTCACTATGCATGAGCTAATATCTGCCTTAGCTAATAGTAGAAACACTGCAGCTGGGCCCGATGATATTTCTTATGCATTCCTAAAGCACTTGTCTAATTATAGTCTTAAAAAACTCCTTAATTTATACAATATAATCTGGAGTTCCCATAAATTTCCATCTCAATGGAGCAAATCTATTGTTATACCAATATTCAAGCCAAATCAGCCAACTATCTTTCCACAATCTTACAAGCCCATCTCTCTCACATGCACTATGTGTAAGCCAATGGAAAATATGATTAACAAACACCTTTTATGGTATTTTGAAAAACACAAAATTATTAAAAAAAGGAACAATCTGGCTACCAAAGACAGCGCTCCACAAGAGATAATCTAGTAATACTCCAAACCCATATCTCCAACGCAATAAATTGCAAGCAAGATTTGATAGCAACTATCTTTGATATAGAAGGCGCATTTGACACGATCTCTAGAAATGCAATCCTTGACAAACTTTTTAAATGTAACCTTACTGGCAACATATACGCATTTATCAAAAACTTCCTAACATCTAGATCGTTCAGGGTTTCTGTCAATAACTTCCTTTGTTCTCCACACATTCCACATGATGCAGTTCCTCAAGGTTCAGTTTTAAGCACATCCTTATTCATTCTTTCGATTAGCAAATTAAGTGAAAATATAGCTCCACCAATCAAATGCGTATTATATGCCGATGACCTAATAATGTACTGTCATGGTAAATCCAACGCAACTACTAGTAAAATTCTACAATTAGAAGTAAATGACCTATAAAACAAAGTAGCTTCTCTAGGACTTACCCTCTCCCACTCTAAATCCAAAGTTATGAAATTTAGCAGCAGAATGAGTTCTTTTGATCCGGAAATCACTATCAACAACTTCAAATTACCGGTTGTTGATAATTGCAAAATATTAGGGCTGATATTTGATTCAAGATTAACCTGGAAACAACATACAGGAACTTAAAGGAGTTTGCATAAAAAGGTTAAATATACTCAAAACACTCTCACATTATCATTGGGGCGCGGAAGAAACTACGTTACTGAAAGTCTACAGATCACTTATCCGCTCTAAGCTAGACTATGGATGTTTCGTCTATATGTCTGGTACTAAATCAACATTAAATTCACTGAATACAGTTCACAACACAGCTATTCGTCTATGTCTTAGAGCATTCTGTTCTAGTCCGGCAGAAAATCTGTACTGTGAAGCTAATGAACCTCCTCTATGGCTTAGGCGAGAAAACCTTCTTCTCTCCTATGCTTCTGCAATTTCTTCCAATCCGTCCAATCCCGTATATCATCTATTTACATCATCACACCATACCCATAACAACCCTCCATGTAACTTAATTATACATCCTATTCCTAGTTTTCTACAACCGTTACTAAAAGATATAAATTTGTCTGAAACCAGAACTGTACCATTCTCCAATAATCCCTATTGGACCAACATACAAGTTTAACAAGGAAGATACCAGTATTAGTATATTAAGAATTCTCTTCCTAGAACTTATAAACAAAAATAAATATAACATAGTTCTTTACACTGACGCGTCAAAGACTGAAAGTGGTGTTGGATATTCTGTAACCACTGCACAACAGCCTATCGAACTCTCTAAAATCTCTCCTTGGTGTAGTATCCACTCTGGTGAACTACTAGCTATCTTACATGCTTTCAAATATGCCCAACAATATCCAAATACACACATAGCCATATGCTCTGATTCGCTTTCATCTATGCACTCCATTAATGCTATATCCACCAAACATCCTATCGTCCAAGATATTCATGACACATATCAGCTTCTTATAAACTAAAATATAAATATCACTCTGATACGGGTACCATCCCATGTTCGTATTAGTGGTAACGAAAAAGCTGATTGCCTTGCTAAAAAAGCCGCATCATCCACGGACACCATTATGAACATATAAATTTGCAATGATCTGAAAGCTAGACTAAAGAAGCTTAATTTATCCACCTGGCAGATTCACTGGAATAATGTTACCTCAGCGCTGCATGAAATCAAACCTACCGTGAACCTTCTTACCTATCCCAGTTTATCTCGAAAAAATATGGCAATCATACGGAGATTGCGTATTGGACATACCCGTCTAACTCATGGCTACCTGATGACATCATCTTCACAACCAAAATGTCAACACTGCAATACGACTCTCTGAATCAGGCATATACTTATCGGATGCCCTTTTTATGCCAAAATACGCCAACAGCTCAATATCAGTACCAACTTTAAAGAGGTCCTAAAGAGCACAGACGAAATCAAGAGGGTTATCAAATTTCTCGAGAACAGTCAACTGCTCAACAAAATATAAATGTTATATAATAAAAGTTTTTATTATTTTCTCTGTATGTTAGATGTTAACTACATTATTTTGTAATTTATATGATATTACCATGTAAATCGTAACTCGTGCTAATGACCATAGATGTCACATGCACGTTAATTTAAATAAAAAAAAATTCACCTAACGTTTGCGTAGCAGCTAAAATGTCGTCTAGGTATGTCTGATTTAGAATTGAATTTACGGCCAAGGGCATCCTATGAGCCTTGTTCACTATATATTTTACAACTCTTTGATTAATATATGAACTGCATTTAAACCCATACAACAACCTTTTATGGGTCTGAGCATAATTGCGCCATATTATGCGCAGTAATGCATCTTATGTGGGATGAATAGCAATTTTCATGTACATATTACTTAAATCCAATTGGAAGTACAATATGACAACAATACAAGATAGAATATGACAACATTCGCATTGAGATCGAATCAAGAATATAAAAGATCTGCCTGAAGTCCGCAGGCTGGCAAATATATCATGTCATATAATGCAGATAACATGTTTTATTTGGTATTGGCGGAAGTATAAACACGAATTATGTATGTAAAACCAAAATGTTTACAAAGTACACAAAATATTTTAATAAGTTCCTTTGAATTGCAATTCGACCCAGATTTCTTTATCTTTCTTCTTCACCCTTAAAAAAGATTCTAAAACAATACAAATGATTCATTTGATGATTGATTGAATATATGTGTCTAAACTATATTACAAAAATCATTTTAATTCTAGCATATTGATAAATCAAATACATGTGCTTAGACAGAATGGCCGAAGGGACAGAATGGGACAAAATATTACAGTCAACATGTACAATTTATATTGGTGTTTAAATAATATGTACTACTCTTTATTAAGGCAATTTCTTAGAATATAGAAATAAGTTCTTAGTTTAAAATAATATTTCTTACCCTGTAAAGGAATAGCTTGCAGTAGTATAACAATGTATCCAGCTATTGTAGGAATCAAGCCAACGTACAGGTACAAAATATAAAAAATGGCAATGGAAAAAAAACGGAGCAATCCAGATAAAATGTAGAAACTCAAAAGCTAAATCAAATCTTTGAACATCGTTGGAAAGAAGGTTCACTAATTCCCCAGTACTTATTTTGCTAAGTGAACCATGGTTTAATTTTAGGAGCTGAAATATAAATTAAATATATATATTATTATATTTTCAAATCAAACATTTACTGTTCTATAAGTAATATTAGTGACCAATACAAACTCATCAGCCAAAACAATTATGTTCATATTACTCGAAGTTTTTGATAAAACACACATCTGTAATAAAATGAAATCTTTCTGAAAACTGAGTAGTACAGTGGGTGATCAAATTGTTAGAGCCACCTAGTAAAATTCAACTTTTTTTACAAAAGGGGTATATAACTGAGTTATATAATATACGAATGCGTTTGTTTCTATCTGATTATCTTGTAAAACTTTATGAAATTAAAAAAAAAATAGTTTGGTAAACGTAGCAACACAGCGAGCGTGGCAATACGTGACTCAGATGCCATTGTTTGTCAGTGCTGTCCAGGTTAGCTTGCAACTCGTGTGCATATTATTTTTTATTCTTGGTGTTTAGGGTTATAATAAATAGTTTCCATTGCTCTCTAGTGATATTCTGACTGTCGTATACTATTTTTTGTGAATTTAGCAAACATTGCATGTTTGTTTCACCAGTGGTACCAGAAAATCATGGGAAAAGCCAAAGGAAAATGGCAGAAATAAAAACTTTATTATTGAATACTATTCACTCCTACAGAAAAATGGCATCAGTTTCTAAAGTTTCAAGGGCAACTGTGGACCGCATGAAGAAAAAACTTGACGAAAACTAGGATTTGACCCCACATCGCAAACAAAAATGTGGTCGAAAAAAAATTACCAACACCAAGAGATGAAAGAAAAATTTGAGATATTACCTTGCCAACAATCTCGAAAGATTTTAACGAACATCCAGGAGTCTGGCATCAATATTTCACCAATGGCAGCTCCTCAGTGGATAAACGATCTGGGAGTTTCAACCTGCCGCCCTGCAAAAAAGCAGCTACTCATACCAGCCATGGCAGCCATGAAGAAAAAAAAGCTTCAATCGGCTAAAGATCATAAAGATTGGATCATTAATTATTAAATTCAGGTAAATAACATTTCTTAACATTGTTTTTAATTTATGTACTTTACAGATGATCAATTTATCCACGATTCCAGAATAATAATAATATTCCAGTTTTATTTTTCGGACGAATCTACCATGCAGATCCTCATGGTTAGAGCTAAATTTGTGAGGAGAAGATCCGGACGAAAATTCAAAGTACTTGAGAGTACTGCAAAACAAAAATGCTTCTCCAGTTCGAGGACTGGTTCCCTGATAGGGGTTTCTTGTTTATGCATGACTTGACGCCTTGTCACACGGTAAAAATGTTATAAAATTACTTGCTGACAACCAGATAAAGGTGCTCGAGTGGTCTGGCAATTGGTCAGATCTGAATCCAATTGAAAATCTTTGGAAGCTCATAAAGAAAGAAATTTCTAATGAAATTCTAACCAAAAAGCGTCAATTGATCGAATGCGTAATAGCAGTATGGCACAGGAGTGAAGCATTTTAACAAAATTACCAGAAATGCAGAGAAAGTGTGCCAAGAAGGTTTCAGGAAGTCATTTCTGCAAATGGTGACACTACCAAATATCAGGCTTAAAGAATAATTATAAGTGTTTTCATGTAATAACTCGTTTATTTTTTAATGTTTGTAAACTTTATAACATTCTAAATCACAAAAAATAGAACTAATCACAAAAATATGCTTTATAGCTCAATTAGATACCATTATTAAACAAAAATTAAAATTTTTTGGGGTGGCTCTAATAATTTTATCACCCACTGTATATCTATAAATTTGAGTAATACAAAGTAAATGTAAACGAAAGCAGTAGAGTAAAAGAGTTATAAATGACAATAATGTAACACCATTATAACAACCAACATACTTGCCTACTGAAAGAAATATTACAACCGTCATCATCAACTTTCTTATTGTAAAAAGAGTTACAAAACTGCTTAAATATAAAATAATCATTTGTCCTTTCTGCGCACCGTTCTTGTATATTTTTTATGTAGTGGAATATACATATAATCAAAATAATTGGGGTTAAGTATTCAAAATTAAATTAATTTAAATCTGTTTCTCAAAATTACTGGCAATATCAAAAGGATATTACATAAATAGGCCAGGGAAATACGCAAAAAAATTATCCTATAACAAACAACAGCTGTTTTGAGTAAGGCTGATTTATAAACTTTACGTTGGCGTTAGCGCTGGCGCTGACGTTCGCGTTACAACATGGTCAAATGGAAAACTCGTATGTCTATTTATAAATATCGTTTGCCGTTGGCGTCGGCGTTCGGTTCCGTTCAAGATGAACCAACTTTATCTTTTGCCGTTGGCCGTTGTAGCACAGAATACACAAACCCTTCTGTGGTTGTAGTCACGATCTCAGAACATAAAATAAAACTGTATCTTTGTCATCGCAGCCAATAGCAATATCGAAAAAGTGACAAGGTTTGTCAAAGATATCAAACAAAATTATTTGTGTATGTTTCTACGTGTTTATAAAGTGAAAAAGTTTAGATAATAACAAGCCTCTCTTTAACAGAAATTCCATCAGAGCGATAGTTTACATTTATTTTTGGTTTTACCATTTGCAGTAATTTTTCAAATGCTGGAAACTGTATCCTGGTGTATTTAAAAAACTGCTGGGTATCCGAAATTTTCATATTTTTATAATAATTAAAATTACCTCTTGTCTTTCTGTTCTGGTTAATGGGCCTCCGTTTGTAACGACGTTGTCTTTTATTTCGAAGGCTCAGTGCTGCTCGAACACAAAGTATCAGTGTCACTGCACCTAACAAAGGCCGAGCATTTTCCATTGTATTAATTTTCAAGCAAAAATTAATAATACCAAATCAAAAATTGTAAGGCAAGAAATTAAGATGTGATCTTTAACGCCAACGCCAACCGAAAGTTTATAAATGCAGTGTATGATAGCTAGCGCCAAGGTCAACGGCAAACGCCAGCGCCACCGCCAACGTAAAGTTTATAAATCAGCCTTAACAAGAACCTATATATGTTGTCTACAGTCGATTTTTTGAACTTACCAAGTTACGGTCAAAATATGGTCAATTTCTTCATCTATTTTTTCGTATATTAGCAAAAAGTGATTCATTTGAAACAAATTTAAGAGTAATAAATTTAAGTCATATAAAAACTTCAAAATGGCGTAATTTAAATGTTTATATTATTATTTATTGCTTAGAAACTTACAAATCAGCCACAAATTTCGTTTTTTGTTTTATAAATGTTAATATACTTTTTTTAAAATACATTTAGAATCTTCATATTACATAAAACATTGGTTCTTGTAGTACTTAAAGTATAATCAAAATTTAAAAGCTATCGGTCAAACAGTTTAAAGTTTGTTGTTGTTTGTTTGTTTGTGTTCAAATGACTGCGGACACTAAATCCATTCGCCAATCTTACAATTTGAGGTGTAGTGTGTGTGTGTGTGTGTGTGTGTGTGTGTGTGTGTGTGTGTGTGTGTGTGTGTGTGTGTGTGTGTGTGTGTGTGTGTGTGTGTGTAGAGTAATTGTCTTGATACTTAGCAAAGTCGACGTCATTGTCTTTGCTAAGAGACGCTAATTGTATCCGAACGTCTGCGGTCCCTCCGGTGTGTACCGATCACACAAGGATAGAAATTATTTTCATTTATTAATTTTTTTTAATAAACGAAAATTTCCACCCAGGTGGGATTCGAACTCACGACCTTTAGGTTTAAAGGCAGGCGCTCTTACCACTGAGCCACAGAGGGGGTCAGTTTAAAGTTATTGTAAATGTTTATTCGAAACTATTTTTTTTACAATATGTCAGAAAATGAAGAGGTCACAGGAATTCGTTCGGAGAGCTTATAAAAAAAAATATTTATTTTACCAATATTATTAACAGTAATGAAGGAAAACGATTTTAAATAATGTAAAATTATTAATTGCAAAAACATGTCGATTTTTTTTCTTATAAACAATAAGAACTTTTAACTGTTGAATACACGAAAACTGTTTTTTCATATTTGGAAAGCATTTTTTTTAAATTAAAAAATAAAAAGTTGTCTCAGGACAATTTCAATTTTTTTTAAACAAAACAAATTATCCTAAATCCTATCAAAATTATCTTATTTAAATATTTCTAAAAACAGTATTGGTTTATGTGTTGCTTTGGAAATAAAAAATCTCAAATAAACTAGGTTTTATTTCTTGCTAATCATGTTACGCGGGTGGCTTTTGTTGAAAAAGGTCGATTTTATATCCACATGCTGAAACTTAATTTCATCGATATAAATTATGATGCAAATATTCTATCATAAAAAGTTTACGAAAATTTTCCATGCAACCAATTTATGTTTAATAATTTTTAAAAAATTACATTGTCAAAGGAAACAATGCGACAGGACCAGTACTTGAGAGTACTGCAAAACAAAAATGCTTCTCCAGTTCGAGGAGTGGTTCCCTCATAAGAGTTTCTTGTTTATGCATGACTTGGCGCCTTGTCACACGGTAAAAATGTTATAAAATTACTTGCTGACAACCAGATAAAGGTGCTCGAGTGGTCTGGCAATTGGTCAGATCTGAATCCAATAGAAAATCTTTGGAAGCTCATAAAGAAAGAAATTTCTAATGAAATTCTAACCAAAAAGCGTCAATTGATCGAATGCGTAATAGCAGTATGGCACAGGAGTGAAGCATTTTAACAAAATTACCAGAAATACAGAGAAACTGTGCCAAGAAGGTTTCAGGAAGTCATTTCTGCAAATGGTGACACTACCAAGTATCAGGCTTAAAGAATAAATATGTGTTTTCATGTAATAACTCGTTTATTTTTTAATGTTTGTAAACTTTATAACATTCTAAATCACAAAAAATAAAACTAATTACAAAAATATGCTTTATAGGTCAATTACATACCATTATTAAACAAAAATTAAAATTTTATGGGGTGGCTCTAATAACTTTATCACCCTTTGTATATCTATAAATTCGAGTAATACAAAGTAAATGTAAACTAAAGCAGTAGAGTAAAAGAGTTGAAAATA